CAAATCCACCATGATCAAGTAGGATTCACCCCAGGGTTGCAAGGATATATTTAACTTCTTCTTTTCCAATTTAGATGCCTTTTATTTCTTTCTCTTGCCTATGTGGCCTGGATAGAACTTCCAGTACTATGTTGAATAAAAATGGCAAAACATATGCAATGGTTGCGTATGTTTCTTTTTGTTGCATCCTTGTCTGGTTTTGGTAACAGGGTAATACTGTCCTTGTAGAATAAGTTTGGAAGTATTCCCTCCTCTTCACTGTTTTGAAATAGTTTGAGAAGACCTGGGAGAAGAACTGGTATAAGTTCTTCTTTAAATATTTGGTACAATTCAGCAGTTAAGCCGTTAGGTCCTGGGCTTTTCTTTGATGGGTTTCAACATATGCATATCTCAAAATGTTACATAGCACATTAACAGAATGAAGGACAAAAACTGTGTGATCATTTCAATAGATGCAGAAAAAGCATTTGGCAAAATTCAACATCCCTTCATTATAAAAAATATCAAAAAATTAGGTATAGAAAGAATGTACCTCATAATAACATCCATATATTACAAACCCACAGCTACTATCATACTAAACAGAGAAAAGTTGAAAGCTTTTTCTATAAGATCTTGAATAAGACAAGGATGCCACTTATGCCATTTTTATTCAACATAGTACTGGAAGTTCTAGCCAGGCCATGTAGGCAAGAGAAAGAAATAAAACACATCTAAATTGGAAAAGAAGAAGTTAAATTGTCCATTTGGAGACAATGTGGTCTTATATGGAGAATACCCTAAAGACTTCAGCAAAAAACTTTTAGATCTAATAAATGAATTCAGCAAAGTTGCAAGATAAAAAATTAGCATACAAAAACCAGTAGCATTTCTATACACTAACAGTGAACCATCTGAAAAAGGAATCAAGAAAACTCCTATTTGCAATAGCTACCAAAAAAAAAAAAAAAAAAAAAAAACCCAAAAAAAAAAAAAAAAAAAACCCCTTTTTTCAAAAGCCCCCAAAAAAAAAAAAAAAAAAAACCCCTTTTTTCAAAAGCCCCCAAAAAAAAAAAAAAAAAAAACCCCTTTTTTCAAAAGCCCCCAAAAAAAAAAAAAAAAAAAAAAAAAAACCCAAAACAAACAAACAAAAAACTTAGGAGTAAATTTAACCAAGAAAGTGAAAGACATACACTGAATACTCTAAAACACTAATGAAAGAAATTGAAAAAGACAAATGAATGGAAAGATATTTCATGTTTATGTTCACAAGAATAGATATTGTTAAAATGTCCATGCTACCCAAAGTGATCTATAGATTCAATGCAACGCCTATCGAAATACCAATTACATTTTTCACAGATAGAAAAACCAATCCTAAAATTCATATGGAACCACCAAAGACCCCTAATAGCCCAAGCAATTTTGAGCAAAAGGGACAAATCTGGAGGTATTACATTCCTTGACTTCCAATTACACTACGAGAGAGTGGGCCTTTGAATTATATGACTTCAAATTATACTACTTTCAAGCGGGAATCTTCGTAGCATGAGCAACTAAAGAGTGAATTAAAAATGGGTGATGTTGAGAAAGGCAAGAAGATTTTTGTTCAGAAGCGTGCCCAGTGCCACACCATGAAAAAGGGAAGCAAGCACAAGATTGGTCCCAATCTCCATGGTCTGTTTGGGCAGAAGACAGGTCAGGCACCTGGATTCTCTTACACAGATGCCAACAAGAACAAAAGCATCACCTGGGGATAGGATACGCTCATGGAGTATTTGGAGAATCCCAAGAAGTGTATCCCTGGACCAAAAATGATCTTCACTGGCATTAAGAAGAAGGCAGAAAGGGCAGACTTGATAGCTTATTTCAAAAAAGCTAATAATGAGTAATAGTTGGCCAGTGCTTTATTTATTACAAAACAGAAATGTCTCATGACTTACATGTACCATAATTTAATTGATCTCATACACCAGAATTCAGATTATGAATGACTGACAGAATATTTTTCTTGGACAGTTCTGATTCAAGTAAGACCGGTTTGTGGTTAAGTGAATATGATAGGTTTTTTGAATTTTGATAGTAATTCCAGTTTTGTAAATACCATCACTGTTTTCCCCTTCTAAAGATATGATTGGACTTGATTAGTAAAGTTCAACTTTTCACAAAGATGATGAATGCCATCTCAAAACCTATTGGAGATTGGTTTTATATCTAGATTTATATAACTGATTATATGAATAAATTTAAATACTGGAGAAATCCCTTCCCTTTCTCAGAACTGAAAACAAAACAAAACGAATTGTACTACAAAGCTGTAGTAAACAAAACAGTGTGGTACTGGCATAAAAACAAGACACTCGGGCCGAGCCCATGGTGCACTCAGGAGAGTGCAGCGCTGGGAGCACAGCAGTGCTCCTGCCGCGGGTTCGGATCCTATGTAGGGATGACCGGTGCGCTCACAGCGCTCACTGGCTGGGGGGGGTGTGGCCAGTCTAAAAAAGGAAAAAAAAAAAAAACCCCCAAACCAAAGGAAAAAAAAAAAAAACCCCCAAACCAAAGGAAAAAAAAAAAAAACCCCCAAACCAAAGGAAAAAAAAAAAAAACCCCCAAACCAAAGGAAAAAAAAAAAAAACCCCCAAACCAAAGGAAAAAAAAAAAAAACCCCCAAACCAAAGGAAAAAAAAAAAAAACCCCCAAACCAAAGGAAAAAAAAAAAAAACCCCCAAACCAAAGGAAAAAAAAAAAAAACCCCCAAACCAAAGGAAAAAAAAAAAAAACCCCCAAACCAAAGGAAAAAAAAAAAAAACCCCCAAACCAAAGGAAAAAAAAAAAAAACCCCCAAACCAAAGGAAAAAAAAAAAAAAAAAAAAAAAACAAGACACTCAGACCAATGGAACAGAATAGAGAACTCAGAAATAACATTCATGCATTTATAGCCATCTGATTTTCAGCAAAGGTGCCAGGAACACATAATGGAGAAAGGACAGTCTCTTTAATAAAGACTGTTGGGAAAAGTGGATATCCACATGCAGGAGAATGAAATTACACCCTTATATCTCACCATATGTAAAAATCAACTTAAAATGGATAAAAGCCTTAAATGTAAGACCCCAAACTATGAAACTACTGGAAGAAAACATAGGGGAAAAGCTTCATGCATTGGTCTGTGCAATGTTTTTCTTGGATGTGACCTCAAAAGCACAGGCAACAAAATCAAAAATAGACAAAGGGATTACATGAAACCAAAACAGCTTCTACACAGCAAAGGAAACAATCAACAGACTGAAAAGAGAACCTGTAGAATGGAAGGAAATATTTACAAATTATGTAACTGATAAGGAGTTAATATCCAAAATATATATGGAACTCAAAAAACTCAATAGCAAGAAAAGAAATAACCCAATTAAGAAATGGACAAAAGACTTGAACAGGTATTTCTCAACATAAGACATACAAATAGCCAACAGGTATATGAAAAATGCCCAACATTAATCATCAGGGAAATGTAAGTCAAAACCACAATGAGATATCACCTCACTCCTGTTAGAATGGCTGTTATCAAAAAGATAAAAGATAACAAGTGTTGGTGAGGATGTAGAGAAAAGGCAATCCTTACACACTGTTTGTGAGAAGGTAAATTAGTAGAGCCATCATGGAAAACAATATGGTGGTTCCTCAAAATATTAAAAATAGAACTTTCATATGATCCAGCAATCTCACTACTGGTTATATATCCAAAGGAAATGAAGTCAGTATGTTGAAGAAATATCTGCACTCCCATATTTATTGCAGCATTATTCACAACTGCCAAGTTATAGAATCAACCTAAGAGTCCATCAGTGGATGAATGGATTAAGAACATGTGGTATACACTTGTATATATACAATGGAATACTATTCATCCATAAAAAATAATAAAATCCTGATATTTGCAACAGCATAAATGAACATGGAGGACATTATGATAAGTGAAATAAGTTAGGCACTGAGACAAATACTGCACAATTTCATGCATGTGAAATCCAAAAAAGCTGATCTCATAGAAACAGAGAGTAGAATGATTGTTACCGGAGGCTGGTGTGGTAGTGAGGAGGGGTTTGGGGAGGTGTTGGTAAAAGGATATGTGATTATAGTTAGGAAGAATAAATTCAAGAAATCTATTGTATGGTTAATAACTTGCTTTGTGTTGCTTCGCCCCCCACGGATTTGTCACCCTATGTCCCCGGGTGACGGAGATGCAAAGGACTACTCAAAGCCCATCTCTTCTGAGCAGTGAGAAGCCCCAAGTGGTTAACTTCCCTGGGACCATCCAGCAAGAGGCAACCCTCCCTCAGGAAATTAAGCCTGAATTGGAGTTCTCTTCCTGCATTTATTTTCCAGACCAGGAAGTTACAGGAAGAGACATAGGTGGGGTTATAGTTTAACAGTATAGGCTGGTAACTTTCAGTGAAACAAGCCAGATGACATTCTAGTAGACAATTAAGTGATCTTATCAACACAAGTTTGATCTTAGCAAACATTTCTTTTTCTTTCAGTGAAACAAGCCAGATGACATTCCAGTAGACAATTAAGTGATCTTATCAACACAAGTTTGATCTTAGCAAACATTTCTTTTTCTTTTTTTTTTTTTTTTGACTGGTAAGGGGATCTTAACCCTTGACTTGGTGTTGTCAGCACCACGCTCACCTAGTGAGCGAACTGGCCATCCCTATATGGGATCCGAACCCGTGGCCTTGGTGTTATCAGCACCACACTCTCCCGAGTGAGCCACAGGCTGGCCCATAGCAAACATTTCTTTACAGCAATTTCTCAGTATCTTTACATAACAATCAGTAACTAGTCTGTCCTTGAGCCAGCAACCTTGCTGTGCCACATCTTTTATCTTAAACTGGAGACTTATAGCCTGAGGAAAATTTCAGTCCTCCGCAAGGTCAATATTTGAGAGCTTGTTTGGAGGTTCTAGCAGGGGAGTGCAGCTACTCGTATACCCTTGACCGAAGAACGGTCCTCTCCTCTAGCGTGGAAGGTCGTCCTCTTCGACCGAGCGTGCAGCTTCGGGAGGGACGTACATGGAGCGGTGAGGGAGGAAGGGGACACCCGCCTAGCCAGCCAGATCAGCCGAATCAACCCTGGCAATCAATGGGGTGACAGATGTCGCAGCCAGATCGCCCTCACATCCAGCAAGGTCAATATTTGAAACTGCAAGACTTTGGAAAACCAGGCCCTGTGAAGTACATATGCTTTTTAGTGTATTCCA